AATGCTGAGGGACAAGTAAAACAACCTGCGAGAGGGGGGTAAGACAAGACGAGGACGAAATACGGGGAGCGAACAGCGGGCGAGACAGAGACAAGACAAAACGAAGTAAGAGGGCTCAGTACTGCTAAGTCAATAGGCGATCGATGTCACTGGTGATACCCGTCTGGTACATGCTAAATGGATAGGTGAACTATGTTCACTGAGCAGTGGGCACAACGCGGTGACAGCTCTAGGTGGCCAGCGTCGCCGCTGTCGCTTCCCAGATGCTTGTCCCGGTAGGCCTGGGATGTAGTGGTGATGGGTCACCAGCATGAGACTCTCATGATGAGAGGGGGGTTGGGATCCCCAGGGGATCATGATGATCCGATCATCCCCTTGTTAGTGGGTTAGGACCCCTGTTATCGTCTCTTTTTTGAAAAGAGAAGCCCAAGGGCTAAGGCCCTTTTGAGAATGGGGCTACGGCCCACATTCTGAACCGCTTCTGCGGTTCAAGCGCGGCTGTGAGGCCGCGCTGAGCATAATGAATGCTCGCCCCGTTACACGGAGGAGTGGTTCCATCTGAAACGACTCCATTAGCTATGTGTTTGCGTGCTTTTGCGAATATCGCGCGCGCCCGGTTTGTGCTGATTTTTGACCGTCCAATCGTGCCCCCCTTCCTCAGTTCTTCGAGCTGTCGTAGGGGGCCTCCGATTGAACTTGCAATAACAGAGTTATACATGTCCAAGCCGTTCGAGCCCCTGTTAGTATTGTCGGGGTCAGTTTTCGTGCACATTACGTGCACTTAGGTCAAATAATTTCTGCGCCTCGGTGATCGATTTAGCTGCCCGTTTGACCCCCAGGTGGAGAACTATCCCCTCTACTATAGCAATGGAGACCGACCCGAAGATCCTCGAAGCAAGAGCTCAGCTCCGTGCCAAGCTCGGTGATGGTGCCCAGCGTGCCGGCGGCAGAGGTAATTCGAATCAGCAGTTGCTCAGTTTCATCGGGCTTGCGACACGACTCGGGCCGACCTTAGTTGCTCTCGGCTGCGCTATATGGAATATGATGGGTCTCAGGCTCCGCCCGTCTTAACAGGAAGGCCGTCCACCGTGGCTCTAGTGCTGCTAGCGATGATAAGAAGCTCTTCGGCATGCTAAAGCGACTAGGCTGCCACGAGATTCCCGGTAAGTTTGTACTCGATAGGAAACCGGAATGATCATCAATTTAGGCATCGATGAGGTCAACATGTTCAAGGCTGACTCCAATATCATTCATTTCGAGAGGCCTAAATGTAAGTGAGAACGCTAGGGGAGCTCAAGCGACTGGTGTCCTGGTCAGTCCAAGCTGCTATCGGTGCTAACACCTTCGTCGTCTCGGGCGGTAACGTTGCCGAGAAGACTGTTGATGAGCTCATGCCCGAGATCATCCCCCAGCTCGGCCCTGAGAATGTCGCTATGCTCAAGGAGATCGCCAACCAGATGAGGCTCGCCCAGGAGGCTCAGCAGAAGAGCCAGGCTAAGGCGGCTGACGAGGAGGTCCCTGAGCTCGAGGGAGATTTCGAGGAGGCTTCCAAGAAGGAAGAAAAGAACTAAATTGCCTTGCGGCTGACCAGTTGTATCTTCTCGGTTTCCTCAGCATTATCATCGTTGAGTCCAATCACAGTGTAGTGGGAATGGTCGTAGTTTTTCAAAATGGCAATAACTTCTCCGAAACGGTTAGAATCATCCCTTGGTGGCGGCATGTCTCGGTC